CCTTAACGTAAAATTTTACAAATATTTATTTAAATGTGATATAGCAACCTCGTCGCCGCTGGCTGCAACTATGTATGCACGAGGCACTTCGAAATGACAGCTTCTCAGATCAAATGAGATATTGGAATTCCTCTTTCGGCTCTCTCGATCTAACCTCCGTCCTCAGAGTCCTCCCCTTCTCTCTTACCCTCAAGAAATCACCACCAAGCTCTAATATCAGATTCCACACAAGTCTGGCCTCCTCACATACTCTACGCGAGCTTCAAACCCCAGAAAACCATTCCAACTGCTTTCGTGTCCAATCCGAATTCTTGGCTTCAATCCAGCGTTCTGGTTCACGCAGCAAATCCGGCCTACTTCAAGACGCCCTCCTTGTGCTCGACGAAATTCACCATAAAGATCCCATCTTATGGAACGTTTCAAAGTTAAGTTCTGCTCTCCGTACTTTCAACCAAAGCTCTCAATTTGATTCGACCGTGAGAATTTTCAAAATAATGCGCTCGGCAGGCTTACAGCCCGATCAGTTTGCTTATGCGAATGTGATCTTGGCCTGCACAGCCATGCAGAAATTTAATCTGGGTAACCTGTTTCTCTCTCTTGTGATGAAAGTTGGATTTCTTACAAGTGGGTATGTTCTTAGTGGTCTCATAGACTTGTTTGCCAAAGGTGGCTGTTTTGTTAAAGCTCTTGATATATTCCTATATGGTTATAGTGATAATTTGGTCTGTTGGAATGCTGTCATTGCCGGGGCAGTTCGAAATGGTGAAAGTTGGATTGCTTTGAAGCTTTTCCACCAAATGGTAGAAAGTCTGTGCATGCCGAATGGTTTTACTTTCTCGAGTCTTCTAGGTGCTTGTGCCGCTGTTGGGGAACTAGATGTGGGAAGGACAATCCACGCATGGATTGTTAAGTTCAATCAGCAAGACGACATCTTTGTAGGAACAGCCGCCATTGACCTTTATGCAAAGTGTGGTGACATGGATGCAGCGGTGAAGATGTTCTTATCAATGCCTGCTAGGAATGTGGTTTCCTGGACCGCCCTGATTTCTGGTTTTGTGCTGGAGGAAGATGGTGAATCTACACTCAAATACTTCATAGAAATGTTGAGAAATAACATATATATTAATGCATACACTATAACAAGTGTACTCTTTGCATGTGCTAAATGTTGCATGGCAAACATTTCTTATCAGATCCATGGTTTGATTTTCAAGTCTGCCTTATATACCGATCCAGCGGTAAATGCTGCTTTGATCAATTTATATGGTAGAATTGGAAATGTTCAAATGTCTGAGAAGGTATTTAAGGAGGGAGGCATGGAAGTGCATCTTATTAACTGGTCTGCAATGATTTCTAGCCTTGTCCAGAATCAATACTTTAGTAGAGCACTAGAACTTTTCCTGCAAATGCTATGTGAAGATCTAAAACCTGATAAGTCATGCATTTCCTGCATTCTCAGCATTGTTGACTGTATAATTTTTGGAGAACAGTTGCATAGTTATATTGTTAAAGTAGGATTGGTAGATGATTTGCTTGTTTGTAGCTCTATTTTCACCATGTACTCCAAATGTGGCAGCATTGGAGATAGTTATGAGCTGTTTGGGCAAATGCCAGACAAAGATAGGGTGGCATGGACATCAATGATCTCTGGTTTTGCTAGGCATGGTAATGCAAAGGAAGCATTTCAATTGTTTAGGGAGATGATCCTTGAAGGCATTAAACCAGATGATATGGCTCTTTCTGCCGCTTTTACGGCTTGCAATAGTCAGATTTTTCTAGATAAGGGGAAGGAAATCCATGGTTTTTCCTTTCGTCATGGACTTAGTATCGCCACCGTCATTGGAAGCTCAACCATATCAATGTATTCAAAATGCAAAGATATAGAGTCTGCAAGAAGAGTGTTTGCTTATATCCAATGCAAAGATCAGATTTTGTGGTCCTCTTTGATCTCTGCTTATTCTACAAACAACAAGAGTGAGGAGGCAATCTTGGATTTCCATCGGATGACTACAACTGGTTTGGAGATTGATCATATTACATGCTCATCCGTCCTTGTGGCATGTGCACAATTGTTTAGACCGATTTTAGGGACGCAAATCCATGGTCAGGCAATTAAGGCCGGTTTAATCCTTCATAATTCTGTAGCTAGTTCGCTATTGACTTTGTATGCAAAGTGTGGGATTATAAGTGAGTGCCGTAAATTATTTGATGGGATACAAAACCCTGATTTGACGACATGGACAACAATGATTGAAGGATATGCTCGACATGGGAGAGCTAAGGAAGCCCTTGAAACATTTGATCTGATGAAGAATAATGGAATGAAACCAGATTCAGTTACATTCGTCAGTATCTTATCCGCATGCAGCCATAACGGTTTAGTAAATGAAGGATTTTTCTATTTTGAATCTATGAGTAGTGACTATGGGATAGAACCAGAGACGCGTCATTATTCATGTATGGTTGATTTACTTGGTAGAGCTGGAAGACTGAAGGAAGCTGTTGATCTCATTGATAGAATGCCAACTGAACCAGGTTTGCTGGTGTGGAGCACATTACTTGGTGCTTGCAGAGTTTATGGTGATGAAGAAATTGGAGGTTTAGCCAAAAAGAAAGTGCTTGACTTTGAATCTCCTGACTCTGGAGCTCATATTGCTGCCTCAAATATGTCTGCTGACATTGGGGATTGGGAGCAAGTTGTGCGGATAAGAAGTTCAATGAAGGGATTTGGTATGAAGAAAGAGCCTGGATGGAGTGCTTTGTGAAGGTTTGGATTGTTTATCCTCTCCTTTCCTTATGATCTGCTAATCTATGTAGCTCACTTCTTTATATTTGATATTAAAAGGTATTTGAAGTTTCAAAATAGCATTAATGAAGGAAAGAAAACATAAGTGTAGATGCTTCTTCTTTCTTTTAGTTTAAGTTACTAAGATGAGAATATTCAAGGTCACGATATGACTGCAGTGGTTGGAATTACAAAACAAATTTTGTTAAGTGGCCAGCGAAGGACTTCTATTTGTTTTGGGACTAAAAAAGTGCCCAACATTTGCATAACAAATGACTATTTTTGCTGGGACTTGGAAAACTTGCTCTTAGACTATTTACCTGGGAATTCAATGAGTTACCTTAGAAATGTTTCATCATATGAAAGGGGAGAGAAGTTTTTGCTGAAGTGTAGGGTCGTAGACTTTTGGCAGTCATTGATTCCTTTGTTTCTTTTTCAGTTTTTTACATTTGTACAAAGGAAACTTTACAATTTGTATCTTTGTTTATTGCTTCTTTTGCTTTATAAATTCATAATTTCTTAATTAAGTAGAAGACATTGTGCTCAAGTTTACCATTGTGTTTGAGTAGTTACTGACGAAGTTCAAGTAGTTCGTAAAAAGTTATCGTGTTAAGCTAAAAATACAAGAGTCCTATTTACCGGGAAAATCAAAGCCACTCTAGTTTTACTTCTCGTTTATTAGCTTTGTTTTTAACAGGCATTTTAATAATATGCAAAACATTTTCAAAAACTTTTTCCTTACAACATAATTTGACTTGCCATGCTTACTAACATTAATGCCAACAGATGAAGGATTCTAAAGAAACTTCTACATCGAGCAAACATTTTTTTGTTTGATGCTTCATTTGGCAAAAGGTTTAAGGAAAAACTCATGGTCCTCATTTTTCCAATTTGATTTTGACAAAGGATGATACTATTGATGATGATGATGATGCTATTCAGACTTTTTTCCCATCATTCCTTCCATTTCCAAGTTTCTAGTTGTCTCCAACAAAAATTTTGTTGAGAATTCATAAGAAGAACCTGCTAAAATTCATCCAAAGGATATGGTGGGAGGTTTAAGAAAAAACTCATAGTCCTCATGTTTCCCATTTGATTATTGCTAAGGATGATACTATTGATGATGATGTTGCCTTCAGACTTTTTCCCATCATTCCTTTCATTCCCAAGCTTCAAGTTGTCGCTAACAAAAATCTAATTGAGAATTCATAAGAGTTCTTCTGTTGTCAGAATTTTATACTTGAATAAGGTCTCTCCACATCTAGTATTGCAGGCGAGTAGTTGAGAATTGTAAAGACCATATAGATTGAAGGCTGGTATGGTTTTGAGTTTTCTGCAGAGAGAACATGAAGCTTGGGGACATTTCAGATTTGTAGTTGATCAAGTCAAAGGGATTGAGGCTTCGTTTGGGATGTCTTCTTTACTGTGTCTTAAAGCAGCATTATAGTACAAAAATTTAATTTTTGTACTAAAAATTTACTTTAAGAAGCAATAAAAAAGCTGTCCCAAACGAAGCCTAAACGTCTCAACATCAGTGGAAGGATAAGCCGCAATGTTTCTTTGCTGTGTTATGCCATTTATTGTTGGGTGTAATGTGATGCAAACTACTGAATATTTTTTTGTTTTTGAGTAATAAAGATTTTTTTGAATCTGTTGGTGCTGTTAATGGACATACCTAAGAGTTAGGCTTCGTTTGAGACAACTTTATTTCTGCTTCTTAAAGCAGCTTTTTAGTACAAAAAAAATTTTCATATTAAAAGCTGCTTGTGAGGAAAATTACTGGTGGAAATGATCTTGTGACTTGTGAGGAACATTGGTTGAAATGCTCTTAATTCTTGTCGGCAGAAGGATCACTGAGCACAACAAGCCTGCACTCATGCATACTACTGTTTTTTTATCCCTTCTAATAAATAATAATGTTATAAAAAATTAATAAAATTAGCTTAATAATATCGCAATCAAATATTAAAAATTTTCATAATTCTAAAAATTTAGACTCATAATAATATGAAAATCTATCAAACTGGATGATATAATAAATATTAAAAAGTTTTAAATAATGTATAAACAATATAATCATATAAATTTGAATTTAAAAAATAAAGAGAATTTATGTATAAATATTTTTTTATTAATTTAAATTTATATATTTTTAATTTTTTAATTTTATTTTAATTAAAATTTAATTCATATATAAATATATAATTTAATATAAATTATTATTATTATTATTATTATTATGAACTAAACATTAATTAATCCACCATGTACACATTGTTGAAATTTCAACTAGTTGTTTAGTCACATACATGTGGGAGGTTATTCTAATGTTGTTTATATAGTTTTCCTTCTTTTCATCAGTTAAGAGCTCATATAGAGTGGTGGAATCATGTGGTTATGATTAATTAATGCTTAGTTCATAATAATTTAAAATTTTTAATATTATTAATTCAATTGTGTTATTTTTAAATTAATTTAATATTTAATAAAATATTTTATGTTAAATTAAATTATTTAAATAGATTATGCATTGAACTGACTGGTTCTTAAAAACTGGGATTGGTTCAAATGTTGGCTGGTTGAACCGGCGGTTCAAACCAGTTCCCACCAGTTTGATGTTGGGCCGGTATTTCACGAGGACCGAATCGGCAATATGTCCGCTGTGCAGCTTCAATATTGGCGTACCACTATTTACCCTAAAAAAATAGCGGAAGTTTTAACGTTCGGCTGGAGCTCCGGGGCGACACCATTCAAGCGTTTGGAGTTCCGTTGGAGATGCTCTTAGTGGTTTAAGAATAGCTGTAAATACGCTACAATTAGCATTTGCTATAAAGGGATTTCCCAATGGTTTGGGCACCGCTGTAATAAATGAGTTTTTGCAATGATTTTAAAGATTGCATTGCTCAGGATTTGCGGCTATTAAAACTACTTTAATATAAAAAATTATAATATAGCAGTGATTTTAATCGCTGTAATTTTTATAAAATTTCAGAATTGCAGTGGATTTAACTGCTGCTACGATTAGTAAATTTAAATTCTACTGTTTAATAAAATTTATTAATATTTTAGGGTAAGAATTCAATAAATTATTTATTTAAATAAAATCATTTACGAAATAAATAGCAAAAGGTTCCATGGTGTAGTGGTTAGCACTCCAGACTTTGAATCTGGCGACCTGGGTTCGAATCCCGGTGGGACCTTTCTTTTTGTACCATTTCGCTTACATCTGTATTACAAATGTCATATAAATATGAATGATAAATTTTAATAGCAGGAGGAAAACTATTGTGACAAATTGCCTCATAATATATACCTAATTAAATAAAACTTTTGTAGCAATAATATGAATACTAAGTTTTAGAGAAATATATCTGAGATTATATATTTTGGATAAATTTATTTTTTAATTGGGATAATATTGTATATGTATTTTCTTAAGTTCAGATTTTTATTTTTGTCAAAATTATTCTCAATGAGAGGTAATTTTTTATCTATATTTTTTGAAGTTGAAATATTTAAAATTGATTTGCAAATTTGTACTGTCTTAAGGAAAATAATGAAATACGATGATGTTTGGAGGGAAAAGGGCGTTCATAGGATCCTTCAAAGTTCCTGAAAAAAAGAGTTAGGCATGAATGGGATCCAATGGCTAGCGAAGCACAATCGAAGTATTTGCTAATAGTCGATAATGTTTAAGGAGAGAGGAATCAAATAAATCCTTCAACATATGAAGCATAAATGAAATAAAGTTTCGCAGCAACAAAAAGTGGTCAGTGTCTAACGAGAGAGATTATTCTATGCTGCCGCCGAACGCAGTTTTACATCTTTGGATGAATCAGGCTCAATCATGTCAACAATACCGAGCTACAATACAATAGAAAGGTAGCGTACACATTTTGATTGATCTCCAGACGTCCACACATAATAATTTCTCATTTAACGGGGTATTAGCCAAATTTCTCTATACGACAAATTCAATAAAGATGGCCTCTATATATATAATAAATTATACAACAGCTCATTTGGCCTGAGAATCATAAAAGCATGCAAAACTAATCACATTTATATTAGCAAAGATTTATTTTGCACAGAACAATAATTCCAGAAAAAACTGAACATTCAAATGGAGCACCAAATTTGGTTATCAACCCTGCAAAACATAATTAACAAGGATTCAACTTCATATGTACATATACAGAGTGCCTTGATTGCTCCGTAAACATGAATACTAGACCTTTAAGTCTAATAAGAAGCACTCTCTCTGTACAGGAATTCCATTAACCATAGCTATCAAGGGACTCTCTCTCTCTCTCTCTCTCTCTCTCTCTCTCTCTCTCTCTCTCTCTCTCTAAAAAGAGTACACGAAACATATTACATTTGGGTTTTCTGTATCAATTGTCCTGCTGTATCTCCGAAGATCCTAAAAATTGTAAATTGGTGTATGAATTCTGATAAAATTCTTAAGACTACCTTTCAGAAAGTTTTTAAATTTTGAAATCCATAACGGTATCTAATTATATCAGACTATCCAACTACAAGAGACCAAATAAGCCCTTAGTAGTTGCACTTTCTACCACTATTCTGTCATTGTTGAAACAGCAGTATACTCGCATTCTATCGTTTCTGCTTTGTTCTGGTTTTCCTTTATGCTTATCCAGTAGCTTTTCCACTTATGAAACAAGCTCATCCTGAAATGAAGAAAAAAGAAAGTCATTTAATATAGTTAGATTTCATGGCATGCTTTCGGCTTTGTTTGAGACGGCTTTTTTATTGCTTTGTAAAGCATCTTCTTAGTATAAAAATTAAGAATTTTACATTAAAAAGCTACTTTAAGAAGCAATAAGAAAGTCGTCCCAAACAAAGCATTCGTGGAAGATATTCAACACGTGAACCATCATAGGATAAAAACAAATATACATGTGTATTTTAATGAGAAGTGGTAGGCATGAATTTTATTAGGATGAAATTTTAACCTTATACAGATGAATTTGGTTCATGATTACATGTTGCCATGATAACATCAATCATTTTTCCACAAATAAAGATACAAGTATAGAGATCATAAAAATTAAATACCAAATTTTTATTGTACTTAGGGTTTAGGTCATCAATCCCAAATACTTATGATCTACTACAAATGCTCGGGTTTGGCATATAACCTATTGCTAATACCGAGAGATCAATCAGGGGCCTACAATGGGAGAAATTATTCTGTGGACATCGGACCGTCTGGAGTCAAATCATAATGCTCCATGTCACCCGCTACAGTGGTACATAGCTGTGATACACAACAAACGAGTGACGTGACGAATTCTGATTCGCCTCCGGACGGCGTCCATATCCGCACAAAATAACTTCACCTACAATGGAGTCTTAACTTAATTCTCCATACCACTGTATGTCAATAGCTCAGCACATCTAGCAGCTTCCAATATCAAAAAAATGGCAAATCTAGTGGAAGGGTATGATGATGATTTGAGAACTTTACCTTTCAATTATCATGGAAATTGAAGAGGAATCATATCTTCCAATCTTACCCTTATATTCTAGAGAGACTGTTTAAACGACGCAACCCCAATATTTCCGAGTCACAATAGAGTTGCTCTATAGCAGCAGCTACCAACAACTGTTAGAATTATTCATTAACTCTACAATATTGATTTTGTTTTAGGTACATGGAAATAAACTCTATGATACTGATTTTGTTCCAAGATTATTTCTCCATCGCTATAAATAATAAAGAGACATCTAAAGATAGTGTTTGGTAAGAGGCGTCATGAAGCCATCCAGACCGGTTATGGAAAATATAATCCGACAAATTTGGACAGTAGCTAGTTCTTTAAAAGGGACGATTACAATCGTGAGATGTTATACTTTCCTTTACCACGCTCCAGTATGACATTCTTTGGGCGGTGAATGAAGTGAAACCTGAAACCCGAACAATTAGTTCTACATGCATATTCACGAACAACATCAAACCATCTTTTAATTATCAAAATTTGATTAAATATACTTGCCGGTGGGCTCCAAAAACTTCACGCACTGATCTCTTCATGTATTAGAGAGAGTTTTAACGGATTATGTTTGAAGTTAAATTTTCATAAGCGAGATTGGTAAGAGATAAGACACTACTAAGAGATTTTGCTCTCATTTGAGATGACTTAAAATTTGATTTCAAGTTTCTCATATACACAAGTTATAATGGTTGCTTACCCATCCCAATGAAGAGAAAACATTTTTAATAGTGATGATGATGAACGGATCAAAATCTCATGATTCTGTCATCACGGATTTTCTTAGTTCCTAGTTTACTTAGTCATAAGAATAACCAATCCAACCTAACCAAAGAATTCTTATAGGCAAACATAGGTCGTTTCGTCCAAAGGTATTTGATAAACATGAGCTGGATGTTTGTCTACATGACAAATTCAAATCCACCTTAACTAAAAAAGGGCTTTGTGCCCTATCAAGTATATCCTAAGGGTGTCAAAATGAGTTTTCAGGTCAGGTTCGTGTCTAACTCAAAGCTAACCCGATTAGGCAAACGATCAAGAATTCAGAACTAGACCTAAACCGTCGGGTTGGGTTTACCAGATCCAACCTGCTAACCTTG